TCACCGCCCAGGAGGCCGGTAGGCCGCTATATCTTCAGGAAGAGCGGTGAGCTCTTCCTCATTTGCGGTATGCAAGGATTGGCGACATGCTGCTGGAGCGCAGCGCTGGTCTGAGGCAGCGCTGCTTGGAGGCGAAGGTCTGCTGGGGCTCAGCCTGGCTATGGCGAGCACCCCAGCTTGAAGGAGGAAGAAGGGGGACATGGTAGGAGAGTGGTAGGGCACTTACCTGGCTATGGTGGACACCGTCTTCATCACCTTGTTGGGCGCTGCATCTGGAAGGCCCCGGTTGGGGTAACGCTRCRCCAGGGCAGCTAGAGGCAGGGTCAGGCATAGCGGACCGAGTCAAGCAGCGACATAGCTGCTTTGGGTTGTCTTTCGGGCATCAGGGCAGCATCATAGCTGCCTTCCAGTAGTCTGCCATGACCTATGCTTGAGAGAGGAGGTTGAAGGAAGGAAGACATAGCCATGGTGGACTTGTTGTTGTTGTTGTTGGGTTGTGAGTTGAGTCAGCATTAAGGGGGAAACTTTGGAAGGAGGAAGGTGGAGAGAGAAGGGGGAATTGACATTGGTCTTGCTGGTGTACTTCTTCTTCTTCTTCTTCTTCTTCTCCTTCTTCTTCTTCTTCTTCTTCTTCTTCTTCTTCTTTACCTCTCCTCTGGTCTTTATCTCTTTGCAAGTGCTTTCATTTCTTTCGCAATTGGGTGGCATTGTCTTTCATTGTGCCTATGCACTTGGGAAATGACCAGGATCGTAACACAGCGCAGGATCTGTTGTAGAACTCACGTCTGAGATGTATGAATGGCAAGTCCATATTGGGCACTGCCGCAATCTTCTGCCACTCCATGAGCCAGTCCCGTGTTGCAGCGTTGCCCTGTGACATGGTGAACAAACGGTTGATGGCGAGTGTCGGCGCGTCGTCGACGATGAACCGCTTCTTCCACAGTCGTGTCAGTTCCTCCCATGTGATCTTGTCCTTCAAGTCCGGTACGTCGACGCCGTGGGAGGTTGCCAGGTGGCTCAACCAGGTCTGGCATCCGCCCTTTGAGTTCAGGAACAGGGCGCCGATGTACGCATGCTTGGCTACGGGCAGAATCCTGAGTTGTGTTGTGAATGCTTCCCACCAGAGGACCGGATCCTGCTGCGTGTAGTCGTCGAACTTGTCCAGTTGGAAAGTTGGCATCTTGTACATCTTCGGATTGTCATCCGCATTCGTCGACTGCAGCTGCTGGACCTCGGTCTTCAAGTTATGCAGCTGACTGCTGATGGTGGTCGGCGCAGCGAAAGTGCTGATGTCGCCGAGCATTACCACCACGTGGTCAACGCGTTCCTCCAATTGGCGGCTAGAGGATGCACTGCTGGAAGCCCCAGCATTTGGTCTTGGCGGAACTTGTTCCAAGTCCTGTACACGGGCGTCCAGTGCCCGTGTGGCATCCTCGTGCTGAGTCTTATGGTTCCGCACGGCCCGCTGGAGGTTCGCCAGCTCGGACTGCAGGTGGTTACAAGTATAAACCAACCTGGTCACGAGCTTGGCCATGAACTCCTTATGCTTTTCTTCCGGTGTTGCCTCGTCGCCATTCGGTTCAAAGTGCCAGAACTTGAGTCTCTCTATGCTGTTGGCTTCATGCCGCTGCAGCAGATCCTGGGCTTCCTTGCGGCGAGCCTGGGCATCTGCGTCTGCTTCGGCCTGTAGCCGGAGCTGCTCTGCTGCTGCCGCTTCGTCAGCCTGTAGCTGGGCAGCCTTGGCTGCCAGCTGGCGTTGTTCCTCAGCCTCGATTACAGCGAGCTGAGCCTGGAAGCGCTTTTTGTAGTCGGCAATGGGCTCATTGGCCAGTTGGCCTGGCAGGCCCGTCATGTTGTGGACGTGGCACTGCTGACGTGGCACTGCTTACGTGGCACTGCTGACATGGCACTGCTTACGTGGCACTGTCTGACATGGCACTGCTGATGTGGCACTGTTGCGTAGGTGTCACTGCTGACGTGGCAGTGTCTGACGTGTCACTGTTGCTGACGTGTCACTGCTGACGTGTCACTGTAGCTGATGTGTCACTGTCTGACGTGTCACTGTTGCTGACGTGTCACTGCTGATGTGGCACTGGCGTGTCACTGCTGACGTGGCACTGTACCAACTGGGAAAATGCATGCAAAGGGGTGGGTGGGAGGGAAAACGTAGGTAGGCAAACAACCCAACAATACTTTCCTCCGGCCGTAATCAACAGATAAAATAAAATAAAAAAATAAAAGAGGACTACTTCCTTTTTTTCTTTTTTCTTTTTTTTGTATATCTGTCGATCTATTATGAGTAGGACATGTCAGACGAGTACTATGAACGAGATCTAGGCTAGAGTTCCGCAAAGTTTCGGCTTTTACAAACTGCGAACTTGAAATTTGTTTTTTGCGAAATGGAGTAAAGATGCGATTTTCAGAAAAGAACGAAATCCCGTTTCTGAGAATATAGCAACCTCCGAATATGCCTATCGCAATATTGGTAGGCTTCGCAAGATTTCGGTTTTCAAAAAAAATTGCGAGATAGAATGGAAATGCGATTTTCAAAAAAGAATAATTTCGGTTTTCGAGAATATGACCACTTCTATCGTTGTCCCAATATGCCTAGAAAACGAAATACTACGATCAGAAATTTCAGTTATGTATGCGAACTATCAGAGAAACGAAATGCAACTATCGGGAATTTTCAGACAAAACGAAATGCGATTTATCAGAAATTTTCAGATATTTGTTACGTAAAAAGGAAATACCAATATCAGAAATTTTCAGGTAAAACGAAATGCGAATATCAGAAATTTTCACATAGTTGTTGCGAAAGAAAATTTTTTCAGAGATTTGACGAAGTCCTACTTGATTTACTAATGAGTGATCACTAGATCAAGCAAGCTGGCTAGTTGATTGAGCAAGTCCTCTGAATGAGAGGTCCGCTCCGATACCAAACTGTTGCATACTGTAACGTGCAGACCAGAACAAGAACCGACCTCTCAATGCAAAGTACAAGATGGCGCAAACGGAAGACTTAGATACCATTGATCCGATCAATCAATGTTGCAATGCAGCTCATAACATACATCATCATCATCATCCCAGAGTGTGAAAGGGGTCTGGCGCTTCACACAGGAAGACTGCGCCAGCCCCACACATACACAGACGAAGATGAGGGGGGTTAGACGAAGAGGAGGGGAAGATGGGAATGCCGTCAACACCAAGTCTTCGGCACAGGCCCAAATAGTCCCTTGTCAAAATGTCTGAATCCCAAATGTCGAGTCTGTATCCAATGTCGTCAAGTCTCAGGTCATATCTCTCTCTCGTAGTCCACAGATACTGAGTAGTAGGCAGCGAGAGGGGAAGAAGAGATGGTGGACTTAGAAGAGGAAGAAGAAGAACTCTCTCTTTCTCTCAGTCCAGTACTAACCTGTAAAGTTGGCGCCTTGATGCAGGTATCATGAAGATGGAGCTGGAGCGATGGCGCCACAGGTAAGTACCACTGGCCTCCGCCAGTGTCTCTCTCCCATACCACTACTACTACTATAGCGCCCAGCGCTGAAGACTACAGCTATGGCGCCCAGCGCTGAAGACTACCACTAGCGCTATCTGCCCTGAGCAGCGCTCCTCTGAGTGCTGCTCCGCTATCCTGAAGACTACACCTGACTACTGTCTGACTACCTGACCGTGAAGTGCCTGGGAAGCCCTATGAACTACCCGGGTGCCTCCTGACTGCAGGCGAGCAGTCCAGGAGGCTGCTCTTGCCAATGCCGATCGGAGGCAGGGGCTGCCGCTGCAGCTCCTGCTCAAACTCGTGAGGAACAGGCTATTTCTGGCCTGTTCCGCTTCCCTGTTTACGTGCCTGAGTCTTAGGGGCGGTTGAAACCATGAGGGCCTGAAAATGGCCCTCCGTTTCAGGCTGGAAAACCTCTGCGTCTGAAAGACCCAGAAATAGGCTGAAACGGAGTAGGGCCTGCAGGCCCTCGTTTTTCAGCTTTCAGGCTGAAACGACCGGGGCCTGTAATCCCTAAGTTTTAGGCTTTTAGGTTGAATGTCCGGGACGGGCCCTGCAGGGCCCGTGTGGCTACGCAGTATGCCACACGTACCCACCGCAAGGCAATGAGATCATCAGGCTCCACAGATTGCACCGTAGGGGGAGGGGCGTTCCAGTGTCTGCAGTCTTTGGTATATGCATCCGGCTGCAAGGGCTCCGATCGCTTGGACAAATGGTCAGGGGCCAGGTCGCTATCAGCTGTGGGCTGCAGCAAATGGTTGGAGGTGCAATCAGACTCGCTTTCTTTCACACTTCACATGCATGTAAACAGGTCGCACAGCAAACAGGCGACAAGGGCCCACTCAAAGCTCAGAGATATGGTAACCCAGAACGCAGTTCAGATACAAGCTCGCTTCAGATGGCTATGGCGCGTCAACGCCTGTACAACTCTCTGTTCGTCACTGCACCCTACTGTGCTGTTCACACACACTCAACTTAGGATCACCCTGGATATCCCATATGCGACACACTGTACACACATGCACGCACACGCTGCACTCTTCTCTTAGCTATGGCGGCTATGGCCGCTACTACCTCTACCGCTATGGCTAAGCTCTCCTTCTCGCCCACTTCGTCTTCGGGCATACTGCATACCACCTCACACAAGTCGCTGTGGCAGCGCTTCCGCATGGCTTACGCAGGAATCAGAGGACGACCGCTGGTTTACTAGAACAGAACTTCTAGAAACAGCTCCTGACATAGTTAGAGCCTATGAGAGAGATAAAAGGTAAAGGTTTTGCCTTGGACTGAATTATTCTCGGAGGACCTCGAATTTAGGCTGGCGGGAGTGAAACGGTATTCACCTTCTAGCAGTAGTGAATGCAGATCCCAGGGCTCGATCCATAGACTTTACCTTACCGGTGTACATTACCTGCGTTGACCCCGAGAGTTGAACCCGCGACCTGTGTATTCGTAACAGTTGGTAGACTGTCGTAGGTCCGTAGGTGGTAGGGGTTCGATCTGTAGACCTATTGGATAGAGGTCTTAGTGAGGCCTAGAGGTCATAGCTGTAGGCGTTTTGAGAAGTCAAGGTCGTAGCTGCTTCAGTCCTGAAAGGTCAAGGTCGTAGCTGCTACGGTGTTCGAAAGGCCAAGTCTGCAGCCTTCCGGAAGGTCCTAGTGGTGGCCTTTCGAAGTATTGCTCACGTTTAGACAGAGGCAAGTGGGCAAGTGGTGAGCCCAACTGCGGTATGTCGGCAGTGCGACTGCATTGAGTTGGCAGTGCAAACCAATGCAGTCAGCGGTACCGGTCCCAGTCAGTCACAGTCCAGTCAAGCAAGTACCGTGTGGGACTGTGTGCACCAGGGGCATGGGAAAGGGGCAGACCAACGAGCTACAGAAGTATAAATCAAGAGGCAGCGCCCAGCCATTCATTCATTCCTGCGTAAGCCATGCGGAAGCGCTGCCACAGCGACTTGTGCGAGGTGGTCTGCAGTATGCCCGAAGACGAAGTGGGCGAGGAGAGCTTAGCCATAGCGGTAGCGGCCATAGCCGCCATATCTAGGAGAAGAGTGTAGCGTGTGCGCGCATGTGTGTACGGTGTGTCGCGTGTGGGATATCCAGGGTGATCCTAAGTTGAGTGTGTATGAACAGCAGAGTAGGGCGCAGTGACGAACAGAGAGTTGTCCAGGCGCTGACGCGCCATAGCCGTCTGAAGAGAGCTTGTATCTGAACTGTGTTCTGGGTTACCATATCTCTGAGCTTTGAGTGGGCGCTTGTCGCCGGTTTGCTGTGCGACTTGTTTACATGCATGTGAAGTGTGAAAGAAAGCGAGTCTGATTGCAGAGGCTGCATCATCGGTAAAAGTGGGGGAGAAGTTGTTGCCGGATGTGGCAAAGAACAATTGGTGGGCAGAAGTGAGGCAGGAGGGGGCCGGGGGGAGGGGGGGGCGAAAGGGAATTGAAGCCGATTAGCTGGGCTCATTCCCGTCATGACTACCAGTCGGGCAAACTCCGCGCAGGTGGAAGCACTGTGTCTGGTGCACACGCAGGCCAGTAGCACTATAAAAAATATCGCCCCGTTGTTGACGTCGGACTCAATATTGACAGTTAACAGTGCATGGGCAGGTGACCGGAACACCATTCAGGGAAACCAGTTCGTAAGACGGGTCATGTGAGTGGGTAGCCGATGCTGCTGGCCGTGAAGGTAGGCAGTCCATCCTCAAGCCAAAGCGCTGGAGGGATGGCGCCTAGCAAGCATATGCTGCGTATGTAGGTCACTGCAGCTTTTTTGTGAGTGTGTTGGTGCGTGGGGTTTGTATTCCCTACACAACTCCACGAAGAAAGGGTGACTGTGACAGACTGTCTCATTGAGCTTTCTCCAACTCGTGTATGTGTGTGCATGCATGGGCATGTGGGCATGCGTGTGTCAGGAGGGGGAGAGAGAGAGAGAGAGAGAGAGAGAGAGAGAGAGAGAGAGAGAGAGAGAGAGAGAGAGAGAGAGAGAGAGAG